CAGTGTCGTGTTCGCAGGCCTTGGGAAAGTCTTGCAGGAAAAAGGAGAGCAACTCAGCTCTTCTAGCTGCTCTCCTTGAAGACAGTTATCTGTTTCCCAGGATCGGCAGCGAACACGGATTGAAAGGCCAAATAGTTTTTCCATCCAAAGATTAGCTCAGATGGAGGCATGCCATAGATTAAAGATGCCTGGAAAAATCCTGTGTAAAACTGATGTGGCTTGAATCTTTCAGTATTTTGGGTTTCCAAATGTGGGAGCCCTCAGCCGTGAATTTAGCTGAAAACCAGGGGATAGGTGTTAGAGAGGCTCGGCGAGTTGCCCAAGGCCAGGCAGCAGGTCTGTGGCAGAGGCAAGAACTAAACACTCGGTCCCAGCCCAGTGCTTTAGCATGAAGATGCTGAATTTAGAAATGTTTTTGTACCGTCCTCTTTTTTCATTTTTCCTCCTTTTGTTCTTTTTTGAGACTTGGCAGCTTTGGAGCCTTGCAGCGACGACCGCGCTTTACAAGACTCATTTACTAGCTCTCTTTTCGGTATGGGGGCCTTCCTCAGTCCAACTCCTTGGGCAGGGAATCTCAGTTGGACGACAGAAATGCATCAGCTCTGCACATCTGACAGGTTTGCGTTTTGCTGCCCACTAGATGGCATCTGTGATCCCAAGAACAGGACTTCCAATGTCAAGCTTTGCTCAAAGGCTTTCAGCATATGTGGCAACAGGTATGATGCCAGCTGATAGGCGTTAGAGGAAGAAATGAATAGCGCAGCAAGAATCTAACCCTCCCAAGTGATCTGTCCGGTGGGGGGAAGTTACTCACCATTATTTCATTTTTTTAATGTATTGTTGCTGTCTCACAATTCCCCCAAGTTTCTTTACCAGGTGGCACTTGCTGCATGGTTTTCCCCTGATACACAGTAGATTTGCTCCCATAGCACAGCATCTCAGCTGATCCTTCCCCATCAATCTGCTCTAAGTTTTACAAATACTTAATCATTTGAATGGTGTCCAGCTGCCAACAAGACCAGAGGCAGTTCATAGAAATCCAGAATTCCCTTTTAAGCCACTGTCAGAGGTCACAGCCAAGCCTATGATTTCCCACCCTCCCTCTTCATCTCATCAGACCTGATCTCTTCTCTGCACCAGTGGGCAGCAAGGATGAAAGGCTGTTGGGGCAGGAGCATAATTCATCCACGGACAGTGGTACGTGTTTGTGGACAGAGTTAGGCGAGCAGTGAGATGCGTGGGGGACACAGGGGGTCGGGCTGGTCCCAAACTGTACCACGACAAAGGGAGACATGTCTGAATTCCTCCAGGTGATGCCGGCGACCATCCCCACGTGCTCAGCCATGCTCCCTGCAGCGGAGCAGAAGCAGCACATACCAGCCACCGTGGCTTGGCTATCCTGACACCATTGCAAAAGCCTGGCCCAAGGCCTCAAGCCTCCCCTGCCCGCTCCTGCGCTGGGTTTGTCCCTACTGCTTTCAAAGGAGCAACTCTCCAGCCTCCCGCAGGGTTTTAACTTACACATGTGTAGGATGCGTTGAGCTGCAGGCATATCACATGAGGCTTCGTCACGTGCTTGACATTGTGGCACGTGATGATCTGGAAAGCAAAGCAAAACGAGGCAGGCATTTGTAAAGAGCAGGGAGAGAGAGAAGCCGGCCAGGGCATCTGGCTGCATCCCTTGAAGCCTTTAGACTGTTTGCCCTGATGACTCTCAATCCTCACCCTCCCTCCCCAGGAGGCTATTGATCCCTGTTTCCCAGGTCACCTCCTGTAATTAGCCCACATTAGACAGCATTCAGGAAGCCTCCCTGGAGCTGAGCTCCAAGCGGCTTTTCTGTGTCCATATTTGCTGCATCCTGGTTACTAGGTGCGGCATAACTGCACTAGCGCTAGTCTTTGCAGCCGTGATATGCAATCAGCCGGTTATGATTCATGTCCTTAGGGTGAGGTCACTTGCTCTGCTGCCCAGTTCCCTGCCAGCCCTTTAAAACTCAGCAGACAAAAAGCTCCAACTTCATTGCCTTGAAATCCCTCTGGGGAGTCTGCCCCTGTGATGATGTTTGCATTAACAGCCCCATCCCACCAGTCCAGCTGGCTTCAAGTCCTAATGTAGCCATCACTAGAGAGGCCCTCTGGAAAGAAGGTATTTTGATGGTAAATCTCACTGTGTCGGGAAAGCAGGATAAGAGTGAATACAAGCAGGCTGAACTTCAGCAGGGAAGGTGCAGCCAAGAATAGTGAAGTCATCCTTGTGGAAGATAACTCAGATGAAGCTTGAAATCCATCTGCTGGGGCTGGTTTGGGGAGAGTGGGACAAACCCTGCAGCCCCGACTGGTTCCTTTCGACCCGAAGGATGCTACGATGTGCAGTGAGCTACAAGCTTTGCAAATTAGATCGTCTTCTGCCTGCCGCGGAGCTGCTCATCCCCACCCACCGAGCAAGCAGTCATGCACTTTGATGCACTACTCGCATACTCGCAGCCCTCTTGCTCACCTGAAAGACAGGGCTATCCAGCACCCCTTTGCAATTGCATACTGCCTTGGGCGGGGTGCGGGGAAGAAAGGCAGGAATATTAATGGTTTAGCTTAACACCACCCAGGGGATTTTTGATCTGCTTATCTCAAGTTCACTGAGGGAACCGGTGGCCAAGATGACAAGGCGAGGTCATGTCAGGGTGGGGACAAAACCAATGTCCTGACTTTTGATCTTGCGACCTAACTACAAGGTCATCCTGCCCCCTTGCCCTCTGATGTACAGCACTGGGTCTGGTTTAGCACAGCATGGCACTAACAAGCCGCAGCTCCTGAATAAAATCTTCAGGAATTATATGCTCAGCAACACGCAGGCAAACGCTTGCGCCTACCTCTGTTCCACTACTAATTTCATTTCCTGGGCTCGTGGTAACGGAGGAAACAGTGTGCTTTGTGCTGCCAGTAGTAGTTGTCCAGACTGGTTTCAGAGTTGTGTTTGGCAGTGTCACGTTGGGAAGAGATGATACTTCTGGCTGTTGAGTGGAAGATATATTTGTAGCCCGAGGTTCTGTCTCATTGCCGCCATCACAGCTGCGCACGGTGGTGGGTGCTGAGCTGGGGGCTTCAGTCATATTGACCGTCGTCAAAGTAGTTTCTATTTCCAGGAAGAAAAGTGTATGAAAATGCTGAAGCACTTCAGAGCCAGCACATGTCTTTACAGTGACTGAGGTGCAACATCAATTTGTCAGAGAGGTGCCAAATCATTTTGCTGGCTCTAAGAGACGTGCATCTTAGACAGACTTCAGAGCTACCTGGTTCTTACGTGCATTTCATAATCTGCTTACAATGGACTCCTATGCATATTGCGAAACAGCATAAAGCTAGGCTTAGTCTCTAAAACCCACCTCCTCTGGGCTCCTCCTCCCTTCTTGTTGAATGTGGAGCCCTTAAATATACAGGTTTACCCACCTGGAAACATTGGAAGGGAGAGCATGTGTCTCTCTAAGATGCTCCATCTCGAATGTGACCCCCTGTACCAGGGCAGCAACTTCTTACATATGCAGAAAATCAAATGGGAATGCAGAGATGTGCGAGATGAACGTGTCAATTGAGTATGACCGTGAAACTGGCTCTGGGGCTGTGCGATCAGGGCTGAGCAGACCTTTTATCTCAAGCAATCACTTAAAAACAGGTACAGACCAAACAGTTTGGATATGGAATCAAACTGTCTGGGTTTGAGGTATAACTTTGGGCCTGTTATAAAGCAAGGAGGTAGGAGCACAAAATATAAAATCTAAAATACCCAAGTGTGGGTGTAAAGATGCCTTTTGATGAGACCACCTGTTGTCATTGATCTGCTGGGTGCGTTCTTAGGGCACTTGCATCCCTTGTAAATCTGATAGCTGAAGCACGCTCACAAATGGAAACTGCAGAGAGGGCAAGCAAAATAATTACCGTTTATCGATACGGTTTTTGTAGATGGCGGTGCTGAAGTTCCTGCAGGACTGCTGGGCTTTGTATCTGCTGGGCCTGCCTTTGTTGTATCACCATCACTTGCTCCTGGTGTCGTCACCAGGGGAGTTGTAGTAAATGTTGTGTCTGTGGCAGAGGTCTCTGGTGCTGAAGTGGTGTTGGTGTCTGGGTCACCAGAAACTACCTCTGTGGAGGGAAAAACAGAGAGTGCAGATGTGTAAGTAAAAAGCACAGCATGACAGGTGAGCTATAAACTCTAGTGGGACTCTGCTATCTCTGTCATGTGGCATCTGAGAGCCCTTTGTGGAGGAAAAATAATAAGTCTGTAGTGCTGTGATGCCTTGTTTATTGTACGAGGTGTTTAAAGGACCTGCTTGATCCTTTGGACATTGGGGGGTTATTGGGAGGCTGGAGCTAGGTCACCCCTTGCCTGCCCCCAGAAAAGATGTTCTTTGCAAGCTTTGGGGCACAAATGCCCTTCTTTTGGCATAGGGAGGGTCTGCTGGTGTTGTGTGCGCTCCCCCGGGTGAGCAGGAGAGCGCACAAACACCAGCAGAGTCTCCCTGTGCCTGAAGAAGTGTGTTTGTGCCCGAAAGCTTGCAAAGAACAATTTTTCCAACTATTTAGTTGGTCAAATAAAAGATATCACATTTACCCAAAAAGCCTCGTCTGCCTGTGTCCTCAGACCGACACGGCTACAACCAACACCCCAGAAAAGATGGCATTCAGATGGCACTCGGGTCCAGGGGCAGTGGCAACAGAGGAGCGAGGCAGAAGGCCCCTTCCCTCTTGCTCTGCCCTAGTCCTTCAAAAAGGCATGGCAAAATGGTCCCCCAGGCTGGCCCTGCTCCCAAAGCATCACTGTGTCAGGCCTGTCTTGGGGACTGATTCCCTGCGAGTGGCTCCGATACCGTGAGCGCATGGCACAGCTCCCCCAGAGCTCCCTCTTAATTAGCTAATCTTGCTGTGCGAAGGGGGAAGAAAGGACTTTTAAGGGCTATTTTCACAAGGCAAGGCTTTTCTATGCCAAAAAGGGGAGAGAGGCCTTATCGCTCCTATGGAAGAAGTGCAGGGACCAATGGTTTGGAGTGGTGGTACCAAATGGTCAAATATTCACGGTTATCCTGGTTACTCGAGCGTCTCCGTTTCCAGTTTTAACTGGGAGTTGAGCAGAACCATTGGCACGATGGCTCTTGTTCTACTTGAAGCCTATACAAGGCAGGGGAAGAAGAGCTCAGTGTGGGACTGAGCACAACAGGAAAGGTTCAGAATTTGCAAAAAAGACGCTTGGACAACAGGGAAAAGGAAAGTGGATATTTTCTGGAGTCACAACCAGTGTTATGGCCTGATCTAAAGCCCTCTGAATTCAGCAGAACCATCCCCATGGGCTTGAGGTCAACTCCTTGCGATGTGCAAGCAATACGGTCCCTTAAAGGCAAAATTGAATGGTTACAGATTCATTGAATATTCTAGTTTAAGGTTTATAGGTCCCCCTGCAATTACCTGTTGTGTGAAAAACATGCCACCTCCAGCTCTCTGTATGAAATAATCTTTAAACATTGATGAAAACACTTTTTTCTTCTGGTGCTTGTATAGACTTATTATGATTTCTTCCTGGAAATCTATTTATATACTTTTAAGTAAGCTTCAATGCCTACTTCAGGAGCTGTTCCTGTTTACGATTCTGCTCCAGAGCTTCAAGAGAAAAATAATTTTGAAAGAAATCGGTGCTTCTGCCCAGGAGAGGCTGGGCCCTAGCACCTCTGAGCAGAATTATTTTATTATTAAAATTTCCTCCCCCCAAAACAGATTTAGCAGAATTGGTGCTAAATTCTGATCAGCTGCTCAATTGCCCAAGCCTCAAAGCATTAGAAATATGACAATTAAGTGGTTTGAAAAATTTGCAAGGAAGGGGAAATTACTCCTTGCAACAGATAATGACGTGAATGTACTAGGAACTCAGCCTAAGACAGGCTTCAGGAGCAGGTGGCTCCAGCTGCGATGGTTTAACAGATCATACAGCCTATGGCTATGTAACCAGACAAGAGATCAGCCAAAAAGCTGGCTGGCGAATTGGGGAGACTCAGATCTTCATCACATCCCGACGTAGGCATTATTCTGGTGCCAGACTCACATCTCTTTGAAGGTCTATCTGCTTCTTGGCCCTGCTATAGGAAATGGGGAGGAGAACTTGATGGGGCCATTTTTCCTAGTACTCTAAAGAGGGACAGGGCATGCCAGGGGTGCCACAGCAGAGAGCCGATCCAAGAGCAGTGCCACCCTCAAGTACTGTTTTTAGGCTTAGGTATGAAACAGCGTCAGGAGACACTGACTGCAACTGCAGACGAGATGGACACAGGGCCCATTATGCAAAGCACCACACTCAAATGCAATTGCCCCAAGAACTTATAGTCCAGGTAAGGTCTCCAGGTTGTAGCCATATTGGTCTAGAGGCAACAGCAACCAGCACTCATGGTAGAGGTGAGATCTTTTATTAGACCAACTAGATTTTTGCAAAAAAAGTTCTTTAATTGCAAGCTTTCGGGCACAAGCACCCTTCTTCAGGCATAGGAGAAATGATTGTAAGCGTTCTCCTAGGTAGAAATGAAAGTTCATATTTCGTAGGAGAGTTGAAGGTGTGGTAAAATCTGCTGCATAAAATGAACTGGCCCAGATTTTACCACACCTTCAACTCTCCTACGAAATATGAACTTTCATTTCTACCTAGGAGAACGCTTACAATCATTTCTCCTATGCCTGAAGAAGGGTGCTTGTGCCCGAAAGCTTGCAATTAAAGAACTTTTTTTGCAAAAATCTAGTTGGTCTAATAAAAGATCTCACTCCTACCAGATAAGGAACTTGCTCTGAAAAGGCCTCATCGTCCTCAGGGGCAGAGCTGCATTTCAGAGAGGCCTGGCTAAAGTCATACATGAAATAAAGATAAATGCAATGACTATACTGCCTTTTGCTATAGAGAACAGGTCCTACTGATTAGCACAAGAGACTGGGTATCCACACTCTATGGCTGTGTCTACTTTTGCTAAAAGGGAAGGATAAACACCCAATCATAGTGAAAAGGCAGAGGAAAATTTTGAGGTAACGCAAAATATCCCAAGGAAACCTGCTGGGATACAGTGCAGCAGAGCCTTACTACAACCCACTTACCAGTATAATGAGCATTGTCTCAGGGCAATGGCAGGAAAAGGTGTAAACTTCTGCAACCTACCTATTTGTGCAAGGCTGTAACAGGCGGGGGTGGGAAAGTTTATCACTGGTGATGATCCACTTACATCTTGGAGCATTTTTTTAAAATTTTTTTTTAGTTCTTTATCATTTTCTGCCCGTTACTGAAACTGCTGTTTTTCTTTATCCATAGACCCCCTAATCCTTTTGGAGACTTAACTATACAACTTCCAGTCGCATCCACTTTGCTCCAGAAGAATGCGTGTAATGAGTGTAAGTCAGGAGAACAAGGGAGCTGATTAGCACGGTAAAGACAACCGCGCAGCACGAAACCCTCAATGTCAGCAGCTCAGAGAATCGCTAGTAAATTATAGACGGGCACACAGCATCAGTTTGGATTAAAAAAAAAAAAAAAAAATCTGCAAAGAATAACCTTGCCATCAAACTGCAACCTCCAATTCCTGACCGTCGCAGACTGCTGGTTAATTATGACTGTTCAGTTCATACCAGGTCTTACAGCCCAGGAGGGTCAGGCATTAAGGGGAGTTTCGCTCGTGTAGCCAGTGCATGATCGGGGCTACCAGTGGTAGCCAAATTGATTCTTTGGAGCTGACAAAATCCAAGGACCTAAGTCAAGGACTTCATGTTTGGATCCCTGAGTGCATATCCAATAGCTTGCAGGATTTGAGCCGTATGCAATAAAGAACTGAGGCACTGACGCACCTAACTTTTGGGTGTCTGGCTCTGAGTGCCATCCAGAACTGCCTTAGCTGCCCAGGCTCCCTAGACACTGGGTGGGAGAGTCACCGCAGTGGGAGGACAGCCTCATCATTTCACACAGTCACAGACAATGGGGGTGGAAGGGACCTCAGGAGGTCACATTTAGTCCAACCCCCTGCCCCAACTAGATCATCCCAGCCAAGGCTGTCAAACTGGCCTCAAAAACCTCCAAGGATAGAGATCCCACCATGTCCCTAGGTAACTTGTTCCAGTGCTTCACCACCTTCCTAGTGAGAAAATTCTTCCTAATATCCAACTTCAACTTCCCTTGCTGCTGCTTGAGCCCATTGCTCCTTGCTCTGTATCTGTCCCCACTGAGACCAGCCCAGCTCCATCCTCTGTGCAACCCCCCTGCAGGGAGCTGAAGGCTGCTATTCATTCCCCCCTCGGTCTTCTCTTCTCCAGACTGAAGAAGCCCAGTTCCCTCCGCCGCTCCTCACAAGCCATGTGCCCCAGCCCCTAAAGAAGTCTTTCTCCTGCAGCCCTCACCAAGTGGCCAAGCCCCAGAGGGGCAGGGTTTCAGACACATCCGTGTCCTCTGCATCCCCCGTTGGCTGTCCACACTTGAACACACTGATTTCAGGCCACTTCCAGGGTGCGACTGTTTCAGTCCCATTCGGAGGTGCTTAACATTCGTCCTGTACTGTACAAAGAGGCTTGGCACCCAATTCATGGGTCTGGATTCTACTCTGGAGGTCACGGACCAAAGCTATACTGAACCGAACCTCGCCCTTCGTCTCCACGCCCCATTTAGTCCTTATCCTCTCTGCTAACATAGGGCCAGATGTCTCAAATTGCTCAGCTGTTATTTGGGCACCAGACTGTGAAGCCAGCTTTTGGGAGTGGCTGCCGAGTACTTTGGAAATCAGGTCCTGTGGAAGCTGGTTGTGACAGATTTTTTTTCTGCATCTCATTATCAGCTTCTGAACTATCTGCCCTGCCACAAAATGCATTTCCATGAACCTAAAAGCTAGAGCTGGGACACCAAGCTTATGTCCACATTTGAACTGCCACAGTGCTCAGAAATGTTGGGATCTGGGGTTTCTGGTTTTGGCCTGATTTTTACTTACAGACATTGGAATTGAGATCCATCTTGGGGACAAAGAATTACATCACTGAGTTTCCCTGATAACAAATTTTAACAAATCAAGACCAGGAGGCATGATTTCATGCCCAGAATAATAAGTAGCACAATGTCCAATCTCTCCTTTTCACAAGGCTTT